ATCTTGACTTGCAAAAGAGGAGACTAATTCAAGCTTTCTCTGTCTGTTTGCAGCCATGAAAAGTTTATGGACGATGTAACCTTAAATTTAGAAAGTGCTGGCTGTAACCCAACAACCTTCATCTTAAAGGTCAAATCGGGAGGCTTTCTACTGACTTTCCTGGAAGCCTTAACTCCTTTATTTCTGGACGTTCTTTGCTACTTTACAGCTGAAAGGAGCGAGTCCACAGGAATAGGTTGAAAAAAAAAGAAATCGATTTAGGAAATGGGTTCATTAGTTTTGTTTTGACAAGTATATTTTATAATACATAAATGGATGTCGTTAATATCGTGGAAAACTAAGAGAGGAAGTCTACCATTCAGAGTCTGGAGCCTTGTTCCAAACCCATTTGAACAATTATGTCTTGTATTGGCCTGGCACAATGCCCCAATTTTGAGTTGGCAAAATAATGATTTCACATTCATATATGCCAGTTTCTACACCAGGAGCGTTCATCAATTTATATAGAGGTTATCCTAAACAGGAAATATTTTATTCCTAAAAAGATCAGTTGTTACTGTGTGTGTGTGTGTGCGTGTGTGTCTGGGAACCGCACAGCGCTGTGATAATACTGTCGTCCTATTTTCCCATGTCAGCTCCCGCACAGCCTCCCCCTTCTCTGTGAAACACACACACACACAAACGCATCCACCAACATTTAGCCATATAGTGTGAAGATAATTTGCTGGGAGAGACTGTCGAGATAAATACGTGGATATGCTAAAACCAGGAGATAGTGTTACCAGCGGGTCTTGCAATGTTAAGGCAGACAGTACAATTAGCCCCTTGTTGTACGAGCACATCGCCAGAAGCCAATGTCTCCGAGGCGTCCATGTAGGACATTAAAAAAAGAATCGCATCATTGTTGAGTGATAAGTTTGTCGACAATATGTTTACAGCGACTACATTTTTTTCACATGATTAATTTTGACAGTAGCTGTAACTTGTTTAAACAAAATTGCGTCGCTCGGATGCCAAAAAATGTCTTTATTTATCGCCAGTTGTTTGGTAACTTTACAGTAATACACTCGAATTAGACGTTTTGATGTGGGCTTTTATACATCGAGAAATTAAAGTAGTAACCAACTCCCGCTTTAAAACGTTAAATAAGGTGATTAGGAGGATGAAAGCCGGGATCACAAAATGTGATTTATCACAGTTTTTTTTATATAAAGGTGTAGCTAAGCAGCACATAATCCGGGTTATTCATGAACTGTGCTGTTTATTAGATGTTTGACCTTTTGAGTTACAGGGTTTGGAACATAACAAGGCGTCGCAGCCATAGTGAATGAAGAAGTCAGCCGCTGCTTCTATTATGTGGGGGAATCTTACCACAGTTTTTGGAGCTAGTCTTCAGAGCTCTGAGATAACAAGGTGTAGAGCTGGATGAACACAGCAGGCCAAGCAGCATTAGAGGAGCAGGAAGACTGACGTTTCGGGCCTAGACCCTTCTTCAGAGCTCTGTTCCTCGGAACTTAAACCCCTTCCTTTAGAGAGAAGCTTCCATTCTGTTGGCTGCAGCTACATGCTTCAGGTCAATGCCACAAACCAGTATTACATCGAAGGCCAGACATGATGTCCTCAGCAACATTGAACTCTGTATTTATTCAAGCTTCTTCAGATATCAGTATCGCAACCATGAGCCCAGGGATTACGTAACAAGTCGAGAGAGAGAGATTGGCACTTTCTTTCCTCCCCAGTTATCCAATGCCATGTTGTACAATTACTTACATTATTCCATTGGACTCAAATGTTCCAACACTAACACACATTGATTGGCTCAACCAACCTTTGGATCATTGAATGAAGCGCTGAGCGTGTTAATAGTTTATGTTAGGAAGAGACAATTAGAAGTTACATCGAACACAATGATCTTTAAAAGCCCCTACGACTGGTCTGGTAAAAAAGGAAAATGTTGTATCTCTTGTACATTAATGTGAAGTGATTTGGAAGCAGCATCTGGCAACTTTGCTGTCCAAGGATTTTTTTAATCGAAAGCCTGGGAGGAGGTATAATATGTGGCTGAGTTTTCAATTGTCCAGAGGAAAGAGATAGACCACCCGGGTGGGGGTTTGTGGCAAAGACAGCGGTTACTGATCAATGTTGGGGACAGGAAGTTAAAATTGAAACAGGAGGTGCCTGAGGTTAATTAAAAGAAGAACGCGGTGACACTAGACACACGTGTGAAAGGTTGCAAAATAACACTGGCCAAAGGAATCAAGGATAACTGGTAACAAAAATAACTGGCACAATGTTTATCTGACCCAGTGCAAAGCATGGTCAATTACCGCAACAATACGGAAAATCTCACAAGAGGGTTCAGTGAAAGATTGGATTTATGATTCCTATTGAATAAATCTGTCAGACAAGTTCGCCCACAGCAAACCAGGCGACAGCTTTAAGAAATTCCCAGCGTTGTAACGACATCCTTCCCTGAGCAGGTCCAGCAAAGGCACTCGATAAAGAGCCGGCGTGTACCTCACCTTCTCGGGTTTCAGCCCTTTATTAATTACCCCGGAGGTCACGGGAGTGCTTGCAGTGGGCACTTCCAATAGAGTTGCCCGTCGCTATGACCGTTTCTTCGCACGACAAGGAAAATAGCACCGCAGTATTTTAAGAATCCGGCTGAGCCGGACCTCGATTTTGTCAAAGGCTCCATTCCCAAGATTCCCTACATTGCACCAGCTAATTCCGTCCAGCCAAGTCGCTAAAGGAATGTAAATACTGGGGTTGGTCTTCATTGGGACGTAGATTGGGAAATCTCCCCACCGCTGACGTGGAAGATTGCTCGCCAAACCACTGTATTTTTTTCAACAAACAGAAACAGAAATTGCTGGAAAAGCTCAACAGGTCTGGTACCATCTGTGCACAGCAGATGCTGCCAGATCTGCTGATCTTTTCCAGCAATTTCTGTTTTTGTTTCTGATTTACAGCAGTTCTTTCGGTTTTTATTCACTATTTTTGTGTGGGGGTGGCGTTTGACAGGAGGACTATTTTCAACGTTTTTGCTTCATCAATCTACCATTCTTCTGGCGCCTTGCAATATGCATTTGTGAAAATGTAAGATCTTTGTACACCAGGCGAATAAAACGAGAGATAGACTGAACGCGTTCACAAATCCATTGCAACATATGAGTTGTGTCCTGTCTCTTTATTCTAATCTACAGACAGAAAACAATATAGGGCACTGTCGATCTGTATTGGGCCCATTTGTGCGTAACTCCATAACGGTTCATGCTCATGCCTTGAATTCAATTAAAACCTTGCAGTTCAGATACATATCCGTTTCTGGTCAATCCTTTAACTACACTGAAACTCAACTTTTCAAGCGCTTTTCTGGCAGTTTTAGCCACTAACACGACGTCCGCAAAAGTAACCACAGTGGGTTACAACAATGCCCAGAGATAGGACCTTTGAAAAGGCGGCTGAGGAAGTTTATTTGTAAACACGTTGGGAAAGAATCCTTTATTTCACATCAAGAGGCCTACCAATTCTATTCCCGCTGCTGCAACATGACTCGTGTTTGGCATCCTCAAGCCGGTTTATTTACTGAATCTGTTGACATTTTCTGATTAAATTCAGTGATAAAACGTACACACGCCACCCACTGAGCCCTGACCACTGGTGGTTCCACAGGTCGCCATAAAACGCAAAAAAAAAAGTTCCACACATTTTACTGGAAATTCTCCACATGGATTCAAGAAATGATCCCCTTTCAAGTTGTAAATTATCTGTTTCGTACAAGCCAAACGTGCAGTGATATTTCGTGCAGTGCATGACTGAATTCATAGAGCTTATGTTCAGAAAATTAATACTTTGGAAATAATTTCGTATCATCCAGGTGGAGTGGAGAATGGAAACTTTAGGTTAACATTGCATTGTTAAACTTGATGAACTTGATTCTATAAAACCTCAGTAAGTGCTGGCTTGCATTAGTGCTGATGGATGGTTTGGTCATCAGCAGGTCTGACCCCAGAGAGATGGGACTAACTGTCCCTCTCTTATCTCGATTGACAAATGCTGGACCCGGGGGGCATTCCCCCACCGTACTAACGCGCGGCCTTCCCAATTACTTTTAAATTATCACTCATCTGGCATAAAATTGCGTGCGTACTGGGCATAGTTTCTCTTTATGTTCCCCAAACTGCTAAAAAGAGTGAAATGCCCTTTTATGAGGAGCGCACACTCGCCTGAACAACGCTGCCATTCCGTTGATCTGCTTGCAACTATAGTCCAGGCAATTGCCATGCAGTTTTTTTTAAAAAAGGCCTGTATTCTATAATTCTTGCCCATTGCTTCAATTAGGAGCAAAAAAGAGAGAGGGCTTTGTAATGCAATTGTCTTGCAAAGGAGAGCGCCTTAAATTGGGGGATTATGCGAGCTGGACCACCTGTAGGGCATTCATGGGCATTTCTATGTGTTCAGGCCTATGCCTTACTGCCTGCAGTCTGGTCAACAATGCAGAAAAAGCTGTTTGAAAGACTGTTCTCCGTTCCCTTCATGCTCACTAACTGTTACAACTCGTCCCCCCCGTTTAACCGAGTTAAGTCTCAGAAACGTTCCTTTTAATTCATTTTTAAAGGCACCATGGTTGTGGCCGACGTCCTTGAAAACAAGGGAAGCTAGAAATGAAAGGGGGGGGGGGGGGGGGGGTTGGGGGGCGGTGTGATGGAGAGAAAGAGAGAGAGAAAAAAAGTACTTCAAGCTTGGAAACGAGACATCAAAGTTACCCGATTCAAAAGGCTCACTCCTACAGATTAACCCTATTGAATTGAGCCTCGTTTAAGAAATTATGTACTCAGCCAGTAGGCAGCCAGGTAAAAAGTTCAACAATTACTAAAATATTCAGTTGCTCCTAAACTGACATCTCAACAAACTACCCACCAGTAAAATGCACATTTCTCTTCCCACTCCTGGCCCCCCCGCTCAGAAAATAAAATTTGCCGAGAGTGTTCCAAAAGTAATTAAAATCAAAGTTGTTTTATTGTCAAAATAGAATAATTGTTTCAAATAATTCTGGTGCTCCTGCAAAGGCAACCACTAAACTTTTTTTTATATATACAAAAAAATGTACATACTCTGAATATACCTCAAAAAACGCTTTTGTTATGTACACAATTTACAGATTTGTGTTCATAGTACAAATAATTATATAAATACAACTTTGCATGAAACCCGTATTACTTGGGGATACTTAAAAAAAAAGGATTTTAAGGCAGGTTGATGCACCCAGGCTTTTCACCACTAAGATTTGTGTCAAGTACGCCATTCATTCCTCTATTTAAATTATTTTCATAAATGTCATCAATTAAAAGTGAACAATCGACTCCTTGCATGATCATAAAATCGCGACTGGCTGAAACGTTTCTGGTCATGGACACGATAGAAATTCGTTTCCCTCTCACATTTGGACAGCTAATGGACGCCGTGTGCATAAAAATGGTTAAGATTCGTGAAGCATCAGTGCCAGGTACACTGTTCCGGTCAGTCCTTCACTTATGACTAATGGATACCATTAGAAGTCCATTAACATTTTAATAAGATGCTGGGTTCAGAGACAGAGAGAGAGAGAGAGAGTGTTCCACAGTTTTAAACTTGGGATAACGGCACTTGTTTGGGGTAAGACACGGAGCTGGCGGTGCCAGATCTCCAGGTGAGTCCGGTGCTGGCGTCGCTGTACATGGAGCCGCCGGTGCCTTTACTGCCCCAGCAGCAGCGCGTCCAGAAGGCCTTCCAGGACTCCAGGGTCTTGCCTGACCAGATCCACACGCCCGAGGTGATGCCGACCAGCAGGCACATGAAGTACTTGAGCATGAAGACGGCGTAGTCCGGCCGGCGGGCCTCCTGCTCGCTCAGGCACGAGCAGTTGTGGGTGAGCTCCCAGTGCGGCCGGTTGTGCTGCTCGTAGAAGTAGCAGGCGACCACGATGGTGGCGGGCACGGTGTAGAGCACGGTGAAGACGCCGATGCGGATCATCAGCTTCTCCAGCTTGTCGGTCTTGGTGCCGCCTTGCTTGAGGATGACGCTGCGGATGCGGAACAGCGAGACGAAGCCGGCTAGGAGGAACATGGTGCCGATGAACAGGTAGATGACCAAGGGGGCCAGCACGAAGCCCCGCAGGTTGTCCAGGTTCTGGTTGCCCACGTAGCAGATGCCGGCCACCGGGTCTCCGTCCACCGAGCTGAGAGCCAACACGGCGATGGACTTCACACTGGGCACCAGCCAGGCGGCCAGGTGGAAGTACTGGGAGTAGCCGGCGATCGCCTCGTTGCCCCATTTCATGCCGGCGGCCAGGAACCAAGTGAGGGACAGGATGACCCACCAGATGGAGCTCGCCATGCCGAAGAAGTAGACCAGCAGGAAGACCAAGGTGCACAGAGCGGGCCCCGTGGTCTCGTAGTGGACGTGCGGCTCCAAGGGGGCGGCCGGGCGGCTGCAAGCCACGCTCTCGTGCCCCGCCACCAGGCGGACCAGGTAGCCGGCCGACACGAAGAGGTAGCAGGCAGACAGGAAAATGATGGGCCGCTCCGGGTACTGGAAGCGCTCCATGTCGATCAGGAAGGTGGCGACCGTCGCCAGGGTCGAGACGAAGCACAGCACCGACCACAGGCCGAGCCAGAAGGCGGTGAAGCTGCGCTCGTCCGCCGTGAAGTAAGGGTCGTGGCACGGCACAGCGCAGTTGGCCGCCTCGCCCGTCCTCACCCGGTTGTAGAGCGGGTGGCGCTCGCTGCGCACCGGCACCATCGGGGCCCGGCAGTGGCAGCCCGGCTCGCAGCGGGCAGGAGGCCGCTGCGGCGGAACGGCAGGCCGGTGGCTGGCCCCGGGCCCCGGGGGAGCGGCGGCCGGAGGCGCTGCCGCCGCAGGAGGAGCCCGGGGGCGGTGGGGGAAGAGCGGAGCCGCCGTGGTCGCCTCGGTCCGGTTGTAATCCATGCACAGTGTCTCGGGCTGTCCCTGCCGGGGTAGCCGCTCACACTTCATCCTGTCCGGCCAGGCGAAGCCGTACTGCCGCATGAGGGGGGCGCAGCCGGCCTTAGCCCGTTCGCACACGCTGCGGCACGGCGGCAGCGGCTTCTTGTAGTCCTCCAGGCAGATCGGCGTGTACATGCTGCACAGGAAGAACCGCAGGTCCGCCGAGCACTGGATCTCCACCAGCGGCCAGAACTGATGCACCTCCAGGCCCGCCTCGTCCTGCGAGTCGTGGTTGAACTGGTTGGGCATGTAGGTGTAGTTGTAGCCGATGCCTTTGCACAGAGGCACGGTGATCTCCTGACAGGACAACTCCTTAGCGGCCGACGCTCCGCTCGACCTCTGCAGTAACGCCACGGCCAATAGCAGCTCCAGCAGGTAGCAGCACTCCATTGCAACCTCCTCAGACCCTCCAGGCTTGGTTTTTATTCTTATTTTTTTTTGAAAAAAAAGAAAAAAAAAATTGTTTCACACCAGCACCGATTCTTTTTTTTTAAAAAAAACTTTTTTTTCTTTTTAACAAACGCCAAGATAAAATCCTCGAGTCCCAGCTGCAAAGTGCAAGTTGTCTCCTTCTCCTCTTCTTCCCCCGCCCCCGACCCCCAGGAGCAGCCGCCAGCCTCCTGCTCCCCTCCAATTCCTCAGTCCGGATCTCAGAACGACACGCGGATCAACAGCCAACACACATTCAGCCTGGGCATCGGGCTGCGGTCCACTTCATGCAGAGGATGAGCCACTAAAACATGAGCTTTCCACCCCCCAGCTCACGCAGGCCTATCTGATTAAGCTGGGCACAACTGTACCCTTTTCTCACCCCTCCCAAAACAAAAACTTCACACAAGTTCCTCCTAACTTTTGCTTCTTTAAGACGACCCGGGCTGCTGCTTCTTTTTGGCTGGTTAAGGGAACGCAGGCCCACGTTGTACTGGGTCTTGGAAGGTGGGTTGCTTTCAGACTGTTGTGGCCCTCCTCTTCCAACCCTTCCCCAAAACAAAACCACACAAAATTCTCCAGGACTAAATATCAGCGGCGCGTCGCATTAAGTGATCACCGAGTGCAGAGAACCTAATACTGTTGTGTATTTATAACGTGAGACAAGCCAAATCCCACCCCCTCCCAGGCCCGGGTTACCAATCACACGGTGACAGGGGCGGAGGGAGAGTGGGGGGAGACACAGCGTCTGTCAATCCATTCTCGCCTCAGAGAAGAATCCCACAGTGACAGCTTCCAGAGGGGCTGGGCGTTTAGCAGGTTAATGTTCGCTTGTTAGTTCCTCGCAGGGGGCTGTCTTTAAAGCTCCCTCCCCCTCGAACAGGAATTGTTTGGGTTTTTTTGTTTGAATTGAAGCGCCGATGTTTCATTCGACCAGGGACCCACGCAGAAGGTGGGTCTGCTGCATCTTTAAGAACGGAAACTCGAGTTAGTTAAAGGCGATGGGCATTAAGGAAAAAAATAAAGAACAATGTAGAGGTGTCCTGCTGAGTATCTCCAGCATTTTCTGTCTCGTAACAAGAGAGCAGGTGGTAGGTTTTGCTAGATTCTTTTTTTGCAGTGGAGGGAAATATAAACAGCGCGAAAATAGGACGGGATTCGAGCGAGGGATTGTAAATAAGTGATTGCTGATCCGCGTGTCCTGCTATGAGTTTACAACTGAGCAAGTTTTAGTTACGCTTTAAGAGTCTGAACGGGCAGACACTGCAGCAAGTTTAAAGATTGTAGACGTGCCCCGTTTCGAATGAACTTTGATAAAAACTTTCGTCTTTTTTTCTGTTTTGTACATTTCAGTACTGCCCCCGTCGTTTCATCACACTCGCCTATGTATTTCAGCGATGGCCAAAACTCCACTTTAATGTTAGCGTTTATTTATTCGTGCTGTATTTTTGAAAGTGCGAAACAGTTCAGCGTGAGGACCCTCATCGTGGTTTATGCATCTTTTTTGGAGCTGGGTTGAGCGTCCCTAGACTCGAAGTGCAGTCCGAATTCTATCAATTCACATTCTGCACCCCCCGACTCCCCCGCCACACCCCATCCTAAACTCAACTGACTGACCCACAACGACTCCTTCGCTATTTCATTCTCACAGAAATATCGCAAAGCATTTAGACGTGATGTTTTTGGATACTGTGAAATGGCCTGATATGATGCCTTTACACATGATTAATGGGAGCCACGCTGTTCATATATATACGTTACTACACAGTGAGTAACATTAGTAGCAGCTCCGAAATAGTACAGGGATTAGACACTGCGTAAGTATCTGAAGACTGGACGCCTCCGCTTTCTATGCTGTCCTTCCAATCTTAATGTTCGAAGCACTATATTTAACAAATACTTATTTTTAATAAGCTGATGACATTCGGTGCAAAGTGAATTCGCTGGTGAATGTGTTTCTCAATAAAGGAGTTACTAAAGATGCAGTGCAGCGATCATATTTGAACTAGCTTTCATTCATAATATCATAGAAAAATAAAAAGCTGCTTAAAAACACAGGGTGGGGATCTGCTATAAGGACAGCGTCTTTGAAAAAAATGCTTTAATCAACAGATAGGTACAGTCCACCAACCGCCAATGTTACAATCTTTTGCCATGTTCTGATACAAGTACCACAAACCTAACTATAATGATGGCAAGTAAAATGAGTAATGAAAAAAATCTTAAAAAGTTATATTATGTTAGCACAAGATTGTTCTAAATGAAATGTTGTAGCTGTGTAGAGTGTTTCCTACACTTTTGGGTGTTTCTGAAGTAAACTCCTGAAGTTATCTGTTTTAGAGTGTAAACTCCAGTCAGTTTTACCATTTCAAATTCATTTAAAAATACATAGAGTTATACAGCACAGAAACATACCTTTTGGTCCAACTTGTCAGTGCTGATCAGATATTCTGAACTTACCTTGTCCCATTTGCCAGCATTTGGCCCATATCCGTCTAAATTTTTCCTATTTGCATACCTATCCAGATGCCTTTTAAAATTTTGTAATTGTACTAGCCTCCACCTTCTTGTATCAGCTGCCACTTCTGGCAGCTCATTCCATACATGCACCAACCCCACATGGAAATGTTGCCCCTTCGGTTGCTTTTAAATTTTTCCCCCCTCACCATAAACCTGTGCTTTCTAGATTTGGACTCCCCCACCCTAGGGAAAAGAGCTTGGCTATTCACTTTATCCATGCCCCTCCTCCTGATTTTATAGCCGCTAAATGCTCCTGGGAAAGATCCCCCAGCCTATCCAGCCTCCCCTGTATAGCTCAAATCTTCCAACCCCGGCAATATCCTTGTAAATCTTATCTGAACCCTTTAAAGTTTAGCAACATCTTGTTAAATACATTCTGAAATGAGAGGTTCCCAAGTGATATAGAAAGAATATCTTCCAATTTCCTTTGTATTCATTATCACAGGAAGCAAATGATGGTCCAGCCAAAAAGGTCCAAGGTTCAATTCATGACCTGAACTGAGCAAGCTCAGATGAGGCAGCACTACATTTGGCTTCAGTACCTTTGTGATGGAGAGGGAGAGACTCCTATTTGGTAGACAGTAAATTTTCCTTTGGATGTCAGTTATGGTAGGATTAGGTTTCACTGCAACATCCTCCTTTGCCTCACATGCCACTTTCAGGAGTATAAGAGAAAGGGAAAGATTTCATGCTCAGGTGAAGCAGACAAGCATTAGGGAGTCTCTGTGTTGTCCGACACCCAATATGTATCATCTTCCTGACTTCAGAGAAATACCTCCTATTGTAGTAGAGACATTATATCAGTAGTTTTCTCATCCTCCTTCTTTTTGTGACACAAGGAAGCTACTTTACAAAAATAAAGTAAGAAAGTGAATATATAGTGCCTTATATCTCTACAGTAGTTATTTGTTTACAGGAAGATTGTACAAACAGTTGGGAGATGAATATTTACTAATTCTGTGTTGTTTGAATGTAGAAGATTGGTCTGCAAAACACCTTTTCACTATATCTTAAAGATATATGTAACAATAAATCATTCATTCATTCATTTGTTTATTGGAGAAATCCCTGCATTTTCTTAGTTGTTCCACCAGATCTATGACATCTGCACATGACATACACTTGATTTCCATATTTCATCCAAAACACCTGACAATCTCATAATAACATGCCCTAGAATTATGGATATTTCCCGAATCAAACTGTTCAGAGAGATTATTACACACTTCTGAAGTAAGTAGCTTCTGAACCCTGACGTCCTGGATGAGATGTAGGGACATAGCCACTGCACCACAAGAGCCGTCCTGGCTGCTTGTAGATACTTTGACTTGTTCAGACATATTCTGACATGCCTTGAGAGCATGCAGGACTCAAATGCAAGCTGCCTGGCTCAAAAGCTGGGATACTACCATTGCACCACAAAAGCCCTTCCCCTAGAATTATACGTTCAGATTCTTGAGTGAGGTTTGAGCCCACAATCCTCAACACAATAATGAAATTATTTTATTAACGTTAGTTATGCTGATACGAGCACTTAATGATTAAAGGAGGTGATTTAGCTGACGTGATATTGCAGATAATCCTAACTTATAATATTAGAACATAGAAGGCTCAATCAAAAGTGACCATTGAATCTGAGACAATCACAAAATTACCTGGCAATTAGATAAGTAGTTAACAAAAAAAATTGCCAATAGGTTGACAATAAAGGAAATGAGTTATGACTGGAAAGATGTTAATGTGAATTCAGTGCCTGCACATCTTCAAAACACTATACATACTCTCCATATTGAAATAGCTAATTCTATAATTTCTGTGAAAAAAATAAACAAAAATGCATCATGTTATCTACTCACTTTAGGGACATGAATGAAAGCTTTTGAGAAATCTAAAAGTTTTGACATATTTTGGTAGCTTTCAAAGTAATTTATTGCAACAGTACAGTACTATCCATATGTTAACTAAGTGTGTCAAAACTTAATTGGCAGGGCAAGAAGATAGGGAAGAAACAAATGATTCACCTACAGTTAAGTTTGGCAGTTGGCTAAAGGCAAAATCACTGAATTTAACATTAACTGGTTAGTAAGTATTTAACTAGATGTTAATTGTGGTCAAGTTGTATCACTCATCATAAAGCAGATGTTTGTGGGTTTAAAACTTGGGCATAGAATCTACTGATGCTTGAATACAATACCAAGGAGCTGCTGCATTGTTGGAGTCATTAAATGATCATCTTGTCTGCTGTTTCATATTGAAATGAAGGATTCCATGGCACTACTTTCAAAAGGAACAATGGAATTCTCTCAATATTTGCTGCTCACCCAGCATCACTAAAACAGATTATTTGGTTATTATTACCCTGTTGTTCCTGGCACCTCAATGTGTTCAAAACTGATTGCCAAGTTTCCTTCATTACAACTGTGACTGCATTTTAAAAGTACTTCATTGATGTAAAACTCTTTAGGACATCCTGTAGTCATGAAAGGTGTTATAGAAGTACAAGTTTATCTTTTAGTTGAAAAACAGATATTGCTAGAAAATCTCAGCAGGTCCGGCAGAGTTAACATTTCTAGTCTTTTGACTCTTTGTTGGAACATTTTATTTATTTTAACTTATCTTTTGGTTCTTCATTCTATCTTAACATATGTCATGAACATTACAGAACGCAACACAATGTACTTGATCAAGAATTATGTTTGCGTGTAGTGAATATTCTAGGCTGCAGATTTTAAACGTATTTGAGAAATAAACAATTGCTTAATTTTTAACATTTATTAAACAGAACAGCAAACTTTGCTTCAGTTTTTTGGAACAGCACTTGATGTGGTAATTGTTCTGCTTTTGTCATATGTAGCTCCTCCAGGATCATATTTAGTTTCTGAGATAACAAGGTGTACAGCTGGATGAACACAGCAGGCCAAGCAGCATCAGAGGAGCAGGAAGGCTGACGTTTCGGGCCTAGACCCTTCTTCAGAATTTTTTTTT